CCCCCTCCTCCCTTCACAGTCCCCTTCCCTCTCCCCCTTTTTCCCTTAAATGGCTATTTCAATCTCACCATAAACCAGCACAAAAGCAACAATCATCATTGCTATGACAAAAAATACGATATATTGATGGAAAGATGCGATAACCTTCTCCCATTCACGGCCAAAGTTCTGAAATAAACAATAAGCAGATTCTATTCAAATTCTCTATCCTTAGAGTATCCTATTCCCGATTCTGAGCTATCTTTCCTACAATAAGCAGCTGACCAATGGAGCTGCTCAGAGAGAATTTTGTTTTATCTACTTGATATTTGCTACCGTGCATTCACATCTAGCTACGTATCTAATGTTGACTTTCCTTAGATGTTTTTGTTGCGTCATCTCTTTCTCCGACAAACTATGGAAGTATAAGCTTCAAATTTGGATTCGTGTGATAAGGAGATCTTTCCCTCTTTGGCTCCATATTATACGGAGGCTCGTTCTCTTCTCATGTAATATAATTTCCATGAAAGTTATGGAGTTAATTACCGTTATGGACCGTGGCACAGATGCTAGAAATGCTGTCAAACAGAATGCAATCACTGCCCAAGCTGTCCAAAGCTGCCGATGATGTTCTACTGTGTCACGCACCATAGCGCAAATTATGAATATCGGTCCTAAAATTCCAACACTAGTAACATGTTATAGTTCATTTTAGAATTACTATGTTAAATGATACCTACCACAAAAACTAACAACGCTTATTATGTATACCGAACCAATATAGAGTATAAGCCAAAACATGGACTTTTCAAGTACCATAAAAACATCTGATATTGTAGATATGGCAAATTGATAACCTTAACTTGCATTGGTCTTCGCACATTTTCCAAAAGGGTAAGAAATAAAGTACGGTAAATTATCAACTCTACAATCAGAGGTGAACGGAAGAGGAAAGGGGATTCCGGTGGGCGTAGAAGTAGCAGTAGGCTGGCCACGCCGGCTACTACGTCTACCTGAGGAGATTTTGACTTGCGCCCCATTTCCCCTTCCCACTCCTTCGTTTCCCCCATGTGTATACTAGCAGAAGCCAACCTGATTGCATATCTACTTCCGAGCCAAGTTGATAATGGCCTCCTACAGCACTCATTACACATAAAAACATAAAAACGCTGATTACTGCCAATACGATATTATTGAATATGATCCCATATGCAAGCTACAACCATTTTTAAGTGAAGTGTACTCTACTTAACTTAAGCGAAAATTAGAGGGCTATTTGCCGCTTTTTCCTTCCCCTTGTCCAACTTTTCCTTTTCTAATTCTGCTAATTAGACGGTGAGGCTTTCTGTTAGCTTACTCTAAAGTCTCCTTAATCATA